ATTGGTTGGGAAGGGACGAAGATTGAGCAACATTCTAATAACCATTCTTCCTCCATGCTTCACCACTCCCACAACTTCTCACTTTAAGCTTTTAGAAAATTGCAACAAAACCCCAAAACTAAAACTTTTTACCACATCAAACCCAACGTAATTTGAAGTGTTAGTTAAAACCCCAGTATATTTTGATGATGTAGATGGATATTCCTTGCAAAAGCTAATGGTTTGAAATCGTAAACATTGCACCCCGTTAGTGCAAAAGCAGAAGGAAGCTTGACTGCAAGACCCACTCGTCGAGCCTTATTGACCCAACGGGGCTGAGTGGAAGTGCCTTCATTCAATGGATAGAAGTGACTTCAGAATTCGATTTTGGAAATCGTAGTGAGAAAACAAAGGTAGTACAAGAGGGGGTCACAAACTCACAAAGCTTACAATACACAAGTCTCAAGAATCCAGAATCTGTTGAGATGATTTTTTGATGATTCAAAAGCCCTAGACTAAAAAACATGTAAACAGTCAACCAACTAAACCAACCGCTAAAGACCAGAAGAAAGGAGAGAGAGGCAGAGATATACAAAGTGCCGAAATAGACCACAAACCAACCCTACGGTTACATCTAAAGAGTGGACAGACATGGAATCCTACTAAGTCAAAAACAACAAAAAATTAAGAATAATAGATTTTTTCTTTTTTCTTTTACCCTAACAGTGATATGAATATGATACAATCTTTTTTCTCCTTCCATAAAACCAACCACTCTGTAATCTTTCTGCCCCTCAAGCCTGTACGTCATCATCCCAAATGCTCTTCTAACTCTACCTTCCTTTTGTTTAACCCTGTTTCACCATAAAGCATCAGTTATATAATCAGAAGCCTCAAGGCATATCCATAAGGAAGCAAGAGTTATCAGCAAACAGAACAAATTTCTCGGAATATAGACCAGATGTGAGCAAGACAATCAAACAAAATGATAGAACCATGCCGAAATAGAGACAAGGAACATGGAGTTGAAAAGTATTCCATTAACACATGTACAGTCAAACGAAAGCTTCTCATTAACAGATGATGATAGAGATGAATCGTTGGATGACCTTACATATTTGTCAACACAAGCAGTCTCTAGGTCTGATCTGATCCAGATGACGAAGAGCTATCGCTGTCTGAATCTGCAGAACAAAAACAGGAGGTGTTTACTAACAAAAATCACAAAAGCACAACGGCAATTTATTATTTAGATAACTCAAAGAGAAGCATGTACCACTAGAAGAGCTAGAACCACTGGAAGAGCTGCTTGAACTACTTGATCTGCTTGTCTCATTATTTTGCTTCTCCACTTGAGAAGCTAAAGGTGTAGGAAGTGTCTTTTTAGCTGATAACAAAAAGCAGTAACAATTATGATCCCTAAGTACTTCACACAAAACAGAGGGAAGTATTCAGAACATAGCCCAGCCACATTACCTGTGTTGCCACCTTCCCTAGAAAACTCATGTGCCACTGGTGCTGGAGCCTGCAATAAATGGTAACAATATATAAAGGTAAGCAGACAGATTTAGT